GAAGGAAGATGAATAATGTATTAAGAATTCTTTTATAAACTCTCCGCCTGCTTGCGCTCACAGATGTTCCACTGCAGACTGTTTACTTCTAGGCCGCGCTGCATACGGGTTGCTAGATTAATTTGTGCGCTCGTAGTAATTACTTGCAGCGTTTATTAGCTCGGAGCTGTCTGCCGTCTTAGGAGACACTCTAAGTTATCGCCATTTCTTATTAAATTGGAGGAATAAATAATTCAGTTAAAAGGTTTCAGTTAAAAAAAAACGGCTTTTTACGCAGCGAGTAATTAACGGCCTGGTACACAGCAGACAGTAATGATGTCAGCCTCATGATTTAGTTTTTTCTATTTGTACAGGTCCGCACTCAGGGTCCTATCCTTACCGCCAGTGGAAAAAACCCTGTTATGGAACTGAATGAAAAGAGGCGAGGCCTTAAGTACGAGTTGATATCAGAGAGTGGAGGAAGCCATGACAAGCGGTTTGTAATGGAGGTGAGCACTAATCATCCCAAAAAGTAATCAACACCATTTATTGTCATGGGTGGCCACAGGAAGGATTGCTCTTTCCATAAGAATCTAATCTTTGGTCACATGCTGGGATTTGATAGACACCGGGATTGGTCACCATAACACCAAGTTATTGTCATGGGAGGCCGAAGGAAGGATTGGTCTTTTCATGACAATGTAATGCTGGGCCACATACTGGGATTTGATAGACACTGGGATTGGTCACCATACCACCAAGTTATTGTCATGGGAGGCCGAAGGAAGGATTGGTCTTTCCATAGTAATTTAATATTGGGCAATATACTGGAATTTGATAGACACTGGGATTGGTCATCATATTACCAAGTTATTGTCATGGGAGGCCACAGGAAGGGTTGGTCTTTTCATGACAATGTAATGCTGGGCCACATTCTGGGATTTGATAGATGCTGGGACGGGTCATCATAACACCAAGTTATGGTCATGGGAGGCCACGGGAAGACCAATCCTTCCATAGGAATCTAATATTGAGCCACATTCTGGGAATTGATAGACGCTGGGATTGGTCATGATAACACCACGTTATGGTCATGGATGGCCACAGGAAGGATTGGTCTTTCCATAAGAATCTAATCTTGGTCCACATACTGGGATTTGATAGGCGCTGGGATTGGTCACCATAACACCAAGTTATTGTCATGGATGGCCACAGGAAGGATTGCTCTTTCCATAAGAATCTAATCTTGGTCCACATACTGGGATTTGATAGGCGCTGGGATTGGTCACCATAACACCAAGTTATTGTCATGGATGGCCACAGGAAGGATTGCTCTTTCCATAAGAATCTAATCTTGGTCCACATACTGGGAATTGATAGATGCTGGGACTGGTCACCATAACACCACGTTATTGTAATAGGAGGCCACAGGAAGGATTGCTCTTTCCATAAGAATCTAATCTTGGTCCACATACTGGGAATTGATAGATGCTGGGACTGGTCACCATAACACCACGTTATTGTAATAGGAGGCCACAGGAAGGATTGGTCTTTTCATGACAATATGACAATGTAATGCTGGGCCACATGCTGGGATTTGATAGACGCCGGGATGGGTCACCATAACACCAAGTTATTGTCATGGGAGGCCACAAGAAGGATTGGTCTTCCCATAAGAATGTAATCAACATCAATGGCTAATGCTTCTCTTGAGGTTTCTCCCATCCCCTGACACATCCAGATCTAGTGGAAAAGTGGACCTGTCCTTTCCAATTTCTTGATATTTTTTTACAGTTCAAACCCTATTGGTGTAGAGCTACAGGGAGCAGAGGGACATCAGTATTTAGAAGTCTCGGTGACCCTGATCCCACACGTTTGATAGAATTCTTCCTGAATATCAGACCACCTTCTAGAATATATATTGGCACTTATAGTGCTTGTGATGTACCCGTAGAGCGTTTTCCCAAGACAAGCATGACGTCGGGGGTGCCTGCAGTACACATAGATGTGAGGTTGATCAGTGGTCTGATTATTTGCAGTCATCTCAACAGTTTGTTTTTTTTGTGTTTTTTTTAAATGCTGTGCCTAGAAAATATTTTTCTGGCCTGGCAGTCTATATCTTAGATCTATGTTTATATCTTGGTGTCTGTATAGGTTATATATGGTTTATATAGAGCAGAGACCACCGTTTAGTTTAAAAGGCTTGCCATGGTGCCTTTAAGCTGGAGTCTGTGTAAGGTCACTTTCCAAATACCAACGTTGTCACACGGTAGTGATGGAAAGGGAAGTAAGCGCCCC